GTATACAAAAGAAAGAAAATGTCCGAGAGAGATGAATGACGGGTGTGTGAACCATAAGATTGAGAACTCTGTGGATGGCCAAATTCTATTTGTGCGCAAAACATTTTGCACGTTCAAGCTTCTGTCGAAGGCTACAGGTTGAAAGCTGTGATAAACATAGCAGAAAATGTTGTTTTGTCAAATAAAACAATTCATAAGATTCTCAGAAAAGATGTTGAGAAAGTAAAGCATTTTTGAGGGTTTAAAAAAAATGCAAAATTGATTCGTCATTTGCTGAATGATGAGTAACAAAAAGAGAAAGAGTCTGATGCGCACATGATTTTGTCCACTGGGTTCTGAATAAAGGGACATATGTTTTGGGACGAATCACAAGGGGTGACGAAACGTAAGTGTATTCGTGAAGTCCCGATCTGAAAAGCTAATCAGCGTCAAAGAAACCCAGGATCACCATGACCCCGATAGACTTGACGTACGCATAGTGCTTTGAAAGTGATGTACATCATGTTTCCGACCACGATGGCTTGGTTCTGAACTAGACGGCTCTCGCTGGCACACCATCAATACTAACTAGTACAAGATGCTTTTTCAAGCAAAGCTGAGACCAGCAGTCAGAACAAAGCGGCACGGTGTGCTTGAGAAGGGTGTTGACTTCCATCGTGACTACACGACTGTGCACATTGCTCGAAACCTCACTGAGGTCCTGGACTCCTGGCAGTGGAAATCCTTGAGCATCCCTGCTATTCCCCAGACTTAACACTACCATTCAAATGCTACGCTACGAACGTTGTCCTAAGCGAACATTGTCACTACGTTTGACCGCTGGTTAAATCGGATGAAACAATGCTTTGAGATCATCGATTCTTAAGTTGAATAGAAAATATGTTTCGGTAGACATGTCATGTTTATCAAATAAAAATTATTGGTTTTACAGATTAGGGGAATTTTATTGTGGACCAGACCCCGTATAATTCACTGAAAGCAAAACCATAAATTCGTTATGATCGTTTTAAAAGGACCTTTTATAGGTAGTACTTAAAACTGTTTACATCCGTTGTTTGTACATGCTTGCTGGAGATCGTGGTCATCATGAATTATATGGCACAGTTGTGACAACCTCGGGATACAGTTACAGGTTCATCGAGGTCATCTGGTCGCTATGAGGTTATTGTGCCACCAAGAGCTTACCACTGCACGCAGTCTGCTATGGTAGGGTAATTTTGTAACTTGATTTTAAACATTTTGTTTCCTCCCTCGGAAAAAGCAGCTGTCGTGGATCCGCCCACAAAGACCATAATTTAGCACGGAACTTATTGTAATAATATTATAATACAAATAGAGATAGCTTTAATTGTATACGCAGTTTCTCGCTCTACAGCAAACTCTATCCGCTTTACAATCCATTATTACCCCAGCAGACCTGATGCATTCCGAAACAATCCCAACCCCCCCCCCTCCCAAAGAAAAAAAGCCAAAAAAAACTTCAACAACAACAAACAAACAATCAATAATAATCAAACAAAAAAACAACAACGAAACAAACAACAAAAACAACAAACATTCCAACAGCACCACCAACAACAAACAAACTAACTAAAACAAAACAAAAAAGCAACAAAATCCAACTGTACGTCTAGATTATAATACCATCAACATGTGGGTATAGAACGGAAATTACCAGGGTCAACAGCACAGAAAGGAAACAGCCATGTCATTAGAAATCGATAGGCTAGTACTACTAGTAGTAGTCTGCACTTATCAAATACACCACGACATAAAAGCCAAAAAACCCGTTCCGTAACCAAGCTGTTTTACCAAAGAATATCACAGGTTGTCGGTCGAATGTCCAAAATATCATTATGCATCTTACGTATTAACAAATTTAAAAAATAATACTGCCCACAACGGATTGTTAAGATACACGAGAGTTACTTCAGTATTTAACCTCTATGGCTGCTTGTTGTACCCGAAATTATATCTTGCCCCTCGGGATGTATAGGTTAAAATGATAATATTTTATCGAAGACTTGTCATGCACATCTTATACGTACTTACTGTTATGTCAATTCCTTCTTTGAACATCTTCAATAACTTACTATACTTGTCCATCCTCTGTTGTCGTTAAGCGTCAAGAGGAGATGCAGTCTTCTATGGTTGTTCAGCTTTTCAGCTCTTTCAATTAATATTATAATTTCTCATTGCTTCCTTGACTAACCCAGTCCGTCTTTTGCAAGGTCTACCTCTTCTTTTATTGTCAGAGTACTTGGTGTTATAATATAGGCTCTCGAGGCTGGCTGGCTAGGAGGCATTCGTAACATTGTAGCATGACCAAACCATTAAAAAGTTACTCTGTTTTTCTATGAAATCCAGGCAGAACTCAGGGTCAAAAGTCGCTCTTAATAAAGTACATGTATTAGTTGATAATGAAAGAGTGATTTGTTACGTGAGATACTAAATTGTGGTGCTGAGACATATTATTATGACGTGTATGTTACGATACACTTTGCCGTTTAACATGGAGGCTTCTTGTAGTTGGACTTGTAGTTCGACGTGCAACTTTTAATCGGAACACATCCAACGTTTCCGTCCCTTTGAAACGGTAGACTAGCCTAATGCAGTAATAAAAAGTGATTGTCTTTAGTAGATCTACTATTGTTTTGTAAACAAAAATAATGCGTAGAACTGCAACTCGGGTAATTTCATATCAGTAATAGATCTACACTTTTTGCTGTGGTCTGTTGCTGTCAGAAGCAACATGTCTCAGTTACTGCTCGCATGTGTTTTTCTTATGTTCAGAACCTCCGTGGCTACTCCTAATTATGTGGATTGTTCTGAATTTGGAAGTATGTATTACTGCAGAGAACTTGTTCCAAAACTCGTTCCGGTTTCATAATAATATAGTGTTTCAGTGAGGATTAAACAATTCTTTTATTCTGGGGTTGATTGGTTGTTGTTGTTGTTTTTTTTGTTTTTTTTTTTGGGGGGGGGTTAATTTATTTCGCATGGTGTAAACATTTTCATTCAGTCTCCTCAGGCAGAACGAGTGGAAATCTGATTTATTTCCTTTTTCTCTCTCTCTCTCTTTCCTTTTTACACATTAGTAATCATCATGGACCTCTCCACCCCCCCCTCCTTTCCCGCCCTCAAACCTCATCATTTCATTTGATGCCTTTGTCTGGTCACGTTGTCTATCTGTATGTCTGTGTGTCTGTCTGTCTGTGTGTCTGTGTGTCTGTGTGTCTGTCTGTCTGTCTGTCTGTCAGTCTTACTCTTTCACAGCGTAAAATGGCTATTATCCTGCCAACGTACTTCTCATTGCCCACATGTTCCTATTTCTTCCATCCTTTCAGCCAGTTCTACCCCTTGGCGACGTTGCTGTGAGAGTGAAGAGCTGCCAAAAGGCTGCGAATGTTTCGACATTACATTCAACGACTTCAAAAACACGGGTTTACAAAGGCCACAATGCCCTGAGGACCTGGGTCTCACCTTTTGGCTCTACCAAGAACTAGAGAGTACGGGAACACAGATCAAGGTGAGATCCCTTTTTCTAATACTTTGCACGTTCAGCTTTATTCGTGTAGTCAGTGTGTGTCCACGAAAGGGGACACATTGATAAAAAGGAAGCAAAAAAAAAAAAGGGGGGGGGGGGGAATTAGGCTCTTTCCTTTTTGCATTTTGTCTTGTCTTTTATTTTTCCTTCTGTTCTTTTCTCTTTTCTTTTTTCCTGTCTTTTTTCGTTGTTCTCGACATGGTGGTTCTTGTAGTGGAGATGAAGATTCTTGTCGTTGTTGATGCAGGTGTTGCTGTGCTGCGGCTGCTGATGCGGTTGTTGTTGTGATGGTGACGGAGGTGGTACGGGGCAGTCGGCGTGGGGGGAGGGGGTTGTTGTGGAGTTTTGGAGAGCCCCACTGCTACGTCCCATTTCTTTTCTTCTGTTGATTCTGTCTATCAGTATTCCTTTTTTAAAACTGCATTAAATGACACCACTTTGGCGTGTCACTCTTCACTCAAACCCAAACTTCGTATTTATGATAAGTTGTTTTTTATTTAATCCTTGTGACAGTGGTTCTTGTTTTGTCGTGTTGTCAAAGTTGCTTTTACCGATTTTAGAACCGATATGTTGTCCTAGTTGTTATTGTTACCTTTATTTCAGGTTGGGGATTTGTCGACTTTCGACCCCTCGCTTCAGACTCGAGTTTTGGGGCATGGCTTCCTGGAGTCAAAGGAAAGCTGGGGGTTGAAGCTGAAAGATGCGCTTTTGAATCAAGTAAGAGTTTTTAGCTCTGTTTTATTTCGTTTTTCATTTTTAAAAAGTATACTTCAACTGTCAGCGCTCCTGACTCACTAGGCCTCGCTAACGTTGTGGTGCAGTGTGTCTTTCGGGCATTCTGGAGAGACCTGCAGGTCAGACTCCCTGTGTCCGACTTGTCGTCAAGATGGTCAGTCTGCACCTTTGAAGGAAGGAGTGTCTGAGGTGGTGTCATGCTGAAACCATTTTTCCACACAGCCCAGCATGGCTTGGCTTTAACTCAATCAAGATGGAGTAACATTAATTCCCAATAAATCAAACCGGACAGCGGTAAAATCATATTGTGATGTTGCAAGAATTGTCCCTGGGTCAGCTTACTAACATAGAAGGGTCCTTTATGATAGACATTAACCCATTCACTGCTGGAAAGCTGCCAAGATAAAAATTACGTTAATTCAAGGAATATTTAAAAACAGAGAATTGTTTCAGAATATGCAAAATAACAAGCCTGTAACTGTGCCTACTATAACTTCTTTTGTGAACCAGATGAAACAATGCAGGTGGAGAATACAAGCCAGATCATACGTCTACTCAGCAATGAAGAGGTTAAAAAAATAAATTTACACGTAAAACATAGAACAACAACACCAACTCCTCCAACGTGTACAAAAGCTACTTTTCACTGTAATAGTAATGTAACGAAAGCATCATTTCGATAAAACGTCCGGTGGACTAATGGTTGCTTTGCTATTTTTAGTGTTATTATTATGCTAATGTGTAGCCATCTAGAATTAAATTGACAAATTCTTCTTTTTTTCTCCATAGTTATTAGCTGATAATAGAAGTAAGTCATTGACAGGTCATATTTCTTTAAAAGAAAAAAAAGATCCTACTTCTTTTCCTTTCCTGTGTTGTGAATATCGTATACTCGCTTCCCCGACACTGAGTGGCTTTTATCCTGATCATCTACATTTACAAAAACAACTATTGTTACAGGACCTGTTCGTGTTGATACAGCAGTCCATTCAAAAAAAAAAAAGGCTCTCGACCATTTCGCGAATAAGCTGAATTCTTTAATCTTACCGGGGGTCTTCGAACGGATAGATACCAAATCTTTTATATTGAAAACGACCAACTTCGCAAGTCTAGCAGAATATTTACCTGACACTACTCATTCGACTTGGTGCAATTTTTAAAACGTTTCCATACCATCCTTGCGAACGTTAATGTTCGTTGGTCTTTCCTATTTTAATCTTTTCATGACGCAACCAACACTTCAGGCAATTTTAGATCTTGAGCCCACCATCTTTACGAACGTCATTGTAGGTCTATCCTCTTTTAATCTATGTCATGCTGTAACCAAGACCTGGAGCAGTTTTTATTCTTGAACCCAGCATCCTAATGAAAGTTATTGTTTGTCTCTTCTCTTTAAATCTAAGCCGTGCTGCACCTAGCGAATGTGTACGAGCATAGGTGTCCACCGGTTCACACACACACACACACACACACACACACACACACACACACACACACACAC